AGAAATTAAAAATACAATACTAATATATGTATCGTTTATCCAATGGCAGGAGAATTATTATGTTTTGCAATAAACTTAAAAAAAAATATATAAATCATTACGTTTTTATAACGCAAACACTAGTTATTAGTTTTGACTGCATTGCCTTACGTAGGAACTCAAGCGGCGAAATGGATGCGATTTTTTGCAACCCTTTTTAGACAAAATTTATTGCAGTAAACTTTTTTATAGCAATGAACACAACAATTTGATAAGGGGTAGCGAAATTCAAACAAAAATACCATGGGGAATAAAACCACTAACGTGCAGCTGCGATAATGTATTATAATATGTCTCACTTGCTTCATTCCGATTTTAAGAAGCAGGTTGATGTCAATCATTGACTCGTGGTTGTACATGGCAAAAAATGTTGATTTCAATTACTGATAGCAAACACCGTTATTTACATCGGCTGTACTGTGGATACCGGTTATAAGTATTAATTTTTGATTTAGATAAATCCGCTTATTTTCTAAAACGACCACAGTTTTTCGTTGACCTATTGATAGATTTGTCTTCAATATTTTATTGATAGTATTTGGTAAATCAAAAGGTTATATGCACATTTAACCAACGTCAATAAAAATGGTATCAGACAGATGAAACATTTAAATTTATATTCAATCTTACCTTTATTTTGGTTGAAACAAATGATTTTCTCATAATTAGTTGGATGGATGCAATAAGGGACATCAAACAGGATCGATCGCGCATTGTTGTATATTAAAAAAAACGTGCACAATTCCAAGAATGATTTCGACGATAATTATCTCTTAAACAGAAAGGTAAATTGGCAATCTGGAAACTGTTGTGAGATGCTGAAAAAAAATTAAGAATAATATAATAAATTTCGTATTATTACTACCCATGTGCTTTAAATTTTATGCGATTGTCTGGAGCTACAGAACCTGGCCTTTGGATTCAATTATGATATTTTAAATTTTTGCAAATGTCGCTACGTAATATTGACATAGGCATTTCTGGTCAGTGATCTCAAAATAGAGGAAAGAAATCAGTTTAAATATTCCCATCGTACCAATATATAACAACGAAGTTAATAGATACAAACGTTCTGCCACAAACCTTAAAAATATCAGCCTCCACATTTAATAGTTTGAGGAATTATATATTATTTTGCTTATTTTTTTAATATTTTTAATTATCTCGCGTAACATGGAAAATCTTCATTCATAATTGATACGTTTTTGTGTCACGATTTTAGAGACGTTTTATTGCTGTAAACACTATTTATTGGCAATCCACATATTAAACTACTGTGAGGAAGCAAATTCTGGACCAGTTTAATTTATGTGGCCGTGCTTTCTAAATGTCCCTAAAATGTAGTTGTTTATAATTGATTGATAATAAACAACTATTACGCTTTTGTAAGAAAACGGTCTTTAATGCAAAAGTGATGTGTAATATTTCCAATCTGGTTATAAAATTTAATCAAGTTAGCGACCTAAGCCGAAAACGAAAGATCGTTGACTTACTTTGGATTCATTTCACATTTCAAAAGATTTTGCCATTGGTTTTGCGGCTGAAGATTTCTCTGACAAAAAAAGTTTGTCGATTTTTCATTATGAAATAACATTCTGCATGGTCTTTACGAATAATAGGTTTATAATAGCCTCTTGTGTAAGGCAAAATAATTTGTTTAAGAGCCGTCATTCAAGCAGTTTTTCGTCAAAATAGGTAGTCTACACGCAAAATCCATTTTGTCCGCATATTTCTAACATAGTACTTTTCTATGTTGAAAACCTCTACTAAGACACATTTACACAACATGTTAAAGGTAAATACGTGCTTCAATATAACTACACGTCTTATCTATGCTCACAAACCTATTTTTTTAAATGAGCAGCATGTCAAAAAATAGATGTAGTAGCAAAAGGTGACCACGGCAATCCGCTGTTTTTTAATGAAGTAAAATTTAAGCAGTTTAGTTTGCCACTTTTGACGCATAATAAGAAACGAAGAGATACGGCGTGGATTAGGCAATACCCGTTGGCTAAATTTACGTATGACTCACAATATCTTTCAGTTTTTATCATGAGTATTCAAAAACAATTAGCCTCAATGTGTTGAAAGGCCAGAAAGCGCTTACAAAGACAAGAAAGTGTTGCGTCATTCGCTAAATACGTGATTAGATTTTTTTAAAAAATTGACGAAAATTGGTATATTTTGCAATAACAATACAAGTCGTTCTAACTAATGCGAAACAAATGTTTGCAGGCTGTGAATACAGTAGGCAATGCGCAAATGACACTAGTTGCCCAAAGACAGATTTCTAAAACTAAGAAACGAATCTGCCTTGATGCTTGGATGTTTAGTGGTGTTGAGCTAATTTTTCCAAAATCTATTTCTACTTCACTGAGCTACAAAATTATGTTTGAATAAAAACATCGCCGGTTACACTACAAATGTGGGCAATTATACTAAAACACATGTTAATAAAATGCCACCATAAACAAACCTGGAAATAAATTTGTGAAATAAGGTGCCT